TGGCGAGGTCAGTGTTCGGGGCCAGGATCGGCGAGAAAAATGGAAGAAAACTTCTTTTGTTCTATTGGGATTCAGAGGGCGCGTTTGGCACCGAGAGAGAGAGAGAGGGAGGGAGAGAGACAGAGACAGAGACAGAGACAGAGAAGACAGAGAAGACAGAGACAGAGAAGACAGAGAGAGAGAGAGAGACAGAGAAGACAGAGACAGAGGGAGAGAGGGAGAGAGAGACAGGACCCAGCCCTACACAGACCCAAGTGGGCCGGCGCCCGGCTGTTAGGCGTAAGCCTTTAAATATGTGTGTGTGTATATATATATATATGTGTGTGTGATGTGTCCTTATATTTATAGTATACTAAATATAGAACTGCTCTTCATCTGACCCCAAGCACATTTCTTGCAGCTGGGCATCTTCAAGGAATCAGGGCAGCATTCCTTTACACAAGTGTGCAGCTGTGAAGGCGGGCCCCTGATCTTGAGAGAACTTCTCTCAGCAGAAACCACCAAACCAGCCTGTTCTGCCAATGTCTTGACTGTTTTCAAGTGCACATCCCCAAATGAATCCCGAGCAAAAACCTCGATCACTAGTGGATGCCCACCCTCCATCTTCATGCACTTCTTTCCCATGGAAGCCACCTGCGCGTCAAGCCGCGCCAGCGTTGCCTTCTCTTGGAATCTCTGCAAAGCACCCGGCCAGTCAAGAGCTATCTCCGTTGATACAGCTTCTGCTGCGCTACAGAGAAGCTCCAACAACGGCTCTCCACCACTGATGAAGCAAGTAGACCCATTCGAACTAGTGAAGGATTTGGGCTTCAGCGAGGGCTCCACAATCCTTTCAATGACACCGGCAAGCTTCTTCTTGAATCGACTATCCAAACATTTCGACACAATGTCATTCTTGTCAATCTCTGCAATAGGGCTGGGCAAAGTGGCAAACTTGACCGCGCCGAAGGCTTCTTTGATGAAACCTCGGATGCGCTTGAGAAACCCAGCGGGGAATCCTTGTTAGAGTATTCACAGGCGAATTCCCAGGTAAAACCAGGTGAAACCAGCTCCAGACTTGCGCAGCTTTCCATGAAGCGAATTCCCACATGCAACAGCATCACCCTAAGTAAAGCCCAGAAACACATCGCGTCGCGTAAAGGGCCCTCTTCAGAGCTGCATCTGCTTTCTACTTCTTGCCAGGCTTGAAAGTCCTCAATGAGGTCCTGGCTTTGGTTCCAATCCCGTGCCAAATACAAGACCTTGGGCTGGTGCTCCTTAAACCAAGGGTTTCTTTCAAAGAAGCCTTTGTACATCACTGCCAGGCGGGCCAAAGGGGTCTTGAATTCCTCGGCCACTGTGTTGGAGATCTTATTATTCAAAATCATCACGGAGGACAGCACTCCAACAATGGTGAAGAGCCGTACACAGTAATCTTGATGCACACCATCATCAGCAAAAAGACCCTCGGAATCCAACAAAAGCAGAAGAGGTCTATCCTGTGGCGAAGCCTCAGATGCCTTGGTCAAGAAGCCACGAGTGGAGACCCAAAGACCTGCCGTGCAAGCTTTCTCTGAGGAATTGGAACATCGGAAGAGAGGCAAGCCATCATCACCGGAGAGTTGCCTCCGTATGAGCTCCAAAAGGGTACTCTTTCCTTCACGCGGCTTGCCGACGATGCTCAAGAAGGCCACCTTCCTGTGTTGGATGACATGGTTCAAATGATGCACAGCAGATCTTACGACCACAAGCTTGTTGCGGCTGCATTCCTCCTTGCGGTGCTTGAAGACGTGATCGACCGTGCCATCTGCAGACTCTCGCTTGATGCACACATAATCCCCAAGCATCTCGCACAGGACCTCCTTCATGAGTGCAAAGTCGAGATCCCTTTCATCAGCAGGCCCAACTGAAAATTCTGTGGGCAAGGCCAAAGGGAGCGACATGGGCGGTACAAGCAAAAACTTCCCAGGCAATGCTGGATCCGCTGCAAGGCTTGCTGCTTCGCACTCTGGCAGCTTGCTCAAGATGCAGCCAGGGTGCTCTTGCCGGATGATGGCATAGATATCTGTCATGTTCTGATTTGCTGTTGGCTCCAAATCAAATGCAATTTCACCCGAGGTGTGGAATATGCGCAAGACATTCTCTGGAAGATGACTCTTTTGTCTGGCCAATGTCAGCCGATGTAGGTGATGCAGAAGTCCTTTGGATGTCGCAGTCGGGGGAAGAACTCCCTCAGGATCATGTTCAGGCTCGGAAGCTTTGGGTGCATCTACTCCTCCAGTAGAAGCCATGCTCAAACGATACTTCTTTTCGCTTAATCCGGGCAAAGTGATTGGCAGCTCATGACCCCGCGCCGTCAGGAACTTTTCGGCGTCGGCACAATGCTCAAACTGCAACCCCACGCAGCTTGAGTCGATGAAGGCTCCTTGAAACCCTGCTTGCTTCTTCAGGAGCTTGAGCTCACACAGCCGCTTGTACAACCTCATGCGGGCAATCGGGGCAAAAGCACGCTTCACAACAAACAGAGGCTTGTTGAGCTCTTTCCATTCAGGGTGAGAGTTCGGACTGCTGCCAGTGTATGCAACCTACCAATATATATTGCAACACGAGCCAAATACCAATTGAAATAAGCCCAAAAAA